AAATCTCCTTGCTTTTGAATCCTACAGCTTTCAAACGTTTCGAAACTGTTGTATGACCAACTCCTAATGATTCTGCAAGTTCCGATTGCGCCTGACATCAGCCTTCTTGAGGTAATGCCAATTCTTCGTCTTCAAGCTTTTTCGGTGCGCTAGAACGTTCTTTATCTACAATATCAAAATCATTATTTTTTAAGCATGTTGTTTCCGATAGAGCATGGTCGCTGTAGGTCTCATCAAGAATTCAGTGTGCTTCAGTTGAGGATTTCTTTTGAATAAAGTGGAGCAGTAAAATTCCTCGCATATACACTTTCTTTGGCACGAAATCCTACAGTTTTAACGCTATGAAAAACAAAGTTGTTTACAAATCGGCTAAATGACATATACTGAATTTCAAGCTTCATATATTACTTCCTTATAGATGTTTTACCGTCTAAAACTATACGCATGCAGTTCTGGGAAAACAGCGATAACTTATTCAAGGTTTTAATACTATCATTTGTTATGGCATTGAAAAATATTTCCATTTAAAAATAATATTAAAATGAAAAACCTGTCCGATTTAAAGGTCTTCATATTTCTACGGAATCCAGCACTTAAAACTTGCTTAACTGTGCAAATAATTTATATTATTAAGCAATACCGTGGGACATGCAGGTTCAAGAAGATTTTTTAAAATTAAATTCTATTTTTACTTTGGTTCATACTGTATAGAGACTTCAATAAATGTTTAACGGAACTAGCATTCAAAATTAGAAAAATTAATTTTTAAAAAAGACAAGATTATTTTTAAACGATCGTCTCTAAAGGAATATGAAACGCAATTCTGCCGTCTTATCGCATATAAGCGAGCAACATGGGATACACTAAAAGATCTACGGAAATATGTACATCGAGGCATAATGAAATCAGGGAGAAAAGACACTATCTATTAGATCTAATTTGGAATTAATTAAACAATTCAATACGGAGTTACTAATAAAGAATATGAGATTAATTTAAAAAACTAATTATAAAAGAATAAACATTCGATTGTAAGAAACAAATTTTGCTGCCGCAAATATTAATTTTCCAGGAATTAGTGCTTAACTGTTGCAAAAAAAATGGATTATGTCTAGATTATTTTTAATTCTTTATGTTTAATACTATAATATTTTCTTGAATCATTTCAACTCAAGCAAGACCATGAAGCCACTAAGAGGCAAAGTTGTAATTTTAACACACTGAAAAATTGTCATTGAAGAAAAAGAACAAAAATACGCAGATGTCAAACTAAGCTCTGATAAAATTCAACGTTCTATCGGCTGGGGATGTTGATACGCCGACTGGATCCCTGTTGAGGGATAAGACCCATACAATGTGCAATCCTATGTATGGATATAAACTACATCCGGCATCAAGGCTCTGATCGGGAGATCAAAACAAACAAAAATGAAAACACTTCGTGTTGTAACCTAGGATAGGTTACCGAATGAGGATTAACTAAAACGGTGGTTACAAATGAAATGGTATTCTTTATAACATCAACAAAATACAATACTCGCTAGCGGCTTGAAGTAGGTAAACCACTGCTAGTGCTGGACTACATAGACACCATATTACCCCCGACCCACTCAAACTTACAATAGTGTCCAAAGTATTTATGAGCAGTGAGACATACCCATTAATGTTCATAGGTACGATATATAACACTATATATCTCAGGCTCTTGATATCGATCAATTTACCTATCCGAATCTTTTCACATCTATTTCTAAAAAGTTGATCGATTTATTTTAATCCGATATTTTTATTACATCAAACGTTGTGTTTATGCTTAAAATAGACATTTGTATTACATCTACCGACATGCGTACTCGGGAAAACTTAATAAAGAATATCTTCTCAGACTGGTTGAAGTAATAGACACTCATTTTTTTTAATCTGTTTCACCCCAAGCAAGGTATTAGAGCCACTAACACGCAAGGGGTTACATAGTATGGATAATTTTGAACAGAAACATTACTAATGAGTAATAAGTAGAAAGGGAAAAGTACATTCAGAAGGACAATAGATAGACTCTGTCTGCAATTATCTTTAGGAAATCAGCAGTTGACCGGGCGAAACGAAAACAGTATTGCTTGTCTGAGGAAAAATCCCTCCAATGAGAGATGATGAACCAATTCAGCATTGATTAAAACCTCTAGAAGTTTCCCAAAAAGGGATAGAAGTCTAATAGGCCGAAAGGTGGAAGGGTCGTACGACTCAGCAGAGTTCTTAAAACTGGAACAATAGGCGATCACTTCAAGCCAGCAGGAAAGCAGAAGGCAGGGAGGCTTTTATTATACAGTTTCGAGAGAACGGGAAGCAGTTCAGAAGCACACTTTTTTAATAACTATTACAGAGATACCATCGGGACCACATGCTTTGTGTAGATCAAAGTAAGATATGATAGAAGAGACCATGGTAAGGGTTCTATGCATATCACTCAGCAGAGAATCAGTTCTAAGATTACTTGATGCGGGATGAAAATCATGTCAGATATATATTAATAAATGTCTGTCTGTGAGCGACCGATTCAGTCTGATTACGAAAATCTTGGTAATCCGTATGGATAATCCAAAGGAGGATGAAATCCTGAGAGTTCAATGTTAATTCAGAGCTAATAATTTAAAGAAAAACAGACCACTTTAAGGCTCCATTGTAATAGTTTATTTCATCAGAGAATTTTATTTTTCCCTGGATCTTCAGACATCACATTCCAAACGTGAAACGAAAAATGAAATGAAAATTTACACATTTGACGGCCAGTATTAAGCTTATATAAGTTGACATAGAGGGTGGCGAGGAATGGTATGAGAGACATGGTCGAGTTTAGAGAGGAAAGGGAGAGTATTAAAATTTATTTTTATATTTCTTTTTATTATAATACTTAATATTGAAGAAGGAAGTGGTAAGGATCAGACCTTCACCTATTTAATCGGCCAACTCAACGGAACTGATATGTGACAAGAAAAGGAAAAATAGGGAAAAGAAAAAAAAGTGTGGGGAGTAAAGAGAAAAGAGAAGTACTTCGGGTTTTCGGAGGAAGAAGAGGGGTGGTATACATTTAGCAAATTAGATAAAACCAGATTTTTCATATTTGAAAGTAATTTAAATGTTTAAAAAAAAATTACACGAGGAAATTAATTTAATATATATATATATATATATATATATATATATATATATATATATATATATAAAACAAATGGTTTATCGATCGCTTAAGTCGGAAATCAACCTATCACCACTCACTGTTTATATGTACAAATGTTTTTTCCCTGGTGTTGAGAACACTTTCTCAATAAATATAGCAGATTTTTACAAAAAGCACACCCATACGTTTAATTATGATTATGTCAAATTCCGCTAATATTTTCTATCATACATACATGATCGAAATTATTAGAAGGATCTGAGAAAATCCTAATCCCTCTTTTCTAGAAGAAATCTTAACAGAATGCACTGAACGGTCGCTTTGTCCTATATTAGGGATTGTATCAGCAGTGCGCATAACACTATCGAGAATTGAAACCCGGACCGTTACGACATGAGACAAACGAAATGCCAACTGTACCAACGGGCCTAGGTGGCATAATGGACTCGATATAGCGCGACTCAATCACAAATTCCGTCGTGGAACTCAGCCGAGTTTCCCTTACACATAGGACTGTGCCCCCACGAGACACGACTACTATCGCCAAACCGCTTCAACTGGAGTCGGTTCAAGCAAGGATATACAAGCGATAGAAATTATTAGGTGGCTTTCACTTGTATATCCTTGCTTGAAGCGGATTGTGTGTGTGTGTGTGTGTGTGTGTGTGTGTGTGTGTGTGTGTGTGTGTGTGTGTGTAGAGTGCGATGGGTAAATTGTCGTCATTTTATATTTTGGATATCGCGCATGTGCGTTGTTTATTATTGATTTTGTAGATTGCTCTATATGGTAGGTTCAGTTGGACACCGTCTGTGAGAAAAAAAAAGCCCCATGATGCAATTCATTCTACCAGACGTTTAGAAACGGAATGCTGTAATGTTTGGTATTCAAACTCAACACAGAAGCCTACATCAATGCCTTGAGGAGGCAGTGATGCCCTGGGTCAAGAAAGTAACTGCTGGAAGACCCTATGTCTGGCAACAGGACTCTGCACCATGCCACACAAATAGGAGAACCCAGTCATGGCATGTCAGACTACTTCTGAGACTACATCACCCGTTATATCTATCCACCTAACTCCCCAGACTACAACCCCTTGAATATTATGTGTGGGGAGAAATTGAGCGAGAGACAAACAAAACTATTTGTAGCACGAAAGATGAACTGAGTAAAGAATTATTATTCGCCAACTTCAACAAGGACACCGTCCAAATGATTCCGAAGTCATCTCGAGAGCGTTGTAGGAATCAATGGCGATTTTATTGTATAAATTTACAATTTACTACTTTAAGATATTTTGCATAATTTAGATAAATATATCTGTTATGCCAGTGTTATTTTCATTTTTACGCAATTTAGACTATAATCTATCTATCTATCTATCTATCTATCTATCTATCTATCTATCTCTCTCTCTCTCTCTCTCTCTCTATATATATATATATATATATATATATATATATATATATATACTGTCACACCAGTGGTACGTGAATTTGATTATCTATTTAAGGGCGGATAGCATGGAAAATTGACGAATCTTTATGCCTTCATGAATCTTATTTCCTGCAAATGCGTTGCGTCGGCACAGAAAAAAAACATTTATATATCTACTTTTATGCGGAGTTGCCCGGACTTTGAGACCAGATTTTGAGTACATACTGGTTAGAAAGAAAAAGGAAGAGACATAGGCAAGGTGGCGGTTGCTGATGTTAACAAAATGCTAGAAGGACCACCCAACCACGGCTGAAAAAAATCTCTTCGTTATTATGAAGTCAATCCTGTGAACTTTTTAGATCAAATTTAACACGTCATTAAGCGGAACGATTTACTGGGATTTTCCATCTTGGGTGCTTAACAAGAAGAAAGGAGAGACAGCTGAAGAGAAGAAGAGAATCCGAAGCAAATACAAGAAGAATGAAATAAGAAAATGATAAGAAGAAAGATAGAAGTCTCACGATATAATGAAAGAAAAAAAAGTAAGTGTTCAATTGTATTACGAAAAGATGTTAAGATTTAGTAACAAAGTAAATTAATCTACAAACGATAGATAGATAGATAGATAGAATAATCGAAAGGTTATTTTTAGTAGATAACCGTGTTTGGAAAAGACGTCTCATTTTTATTTTGAACAATTCCTCGGTAGGAGGCAAAAATGGAAAAAATTTTAAAAAATTGTAAAGGAGAAAAAGAGAAGTAGCCCTCCTCACCGTCACCTTGGTATCCCCGATAGCTAGTGTACGTTTTCAGCCCCTTCATTTCACCACCCATCCATCGCTCACCCATACCATCTCAAGTCAGAGTGCTTGGGTGAGGAAAGCCGAGTGCAGCCATAATTTTTTCTCCAAACACCATTGATAAATTCGTCTTTAGTTCAAGATGGGACGGAAACATATGTACATCCTCAAAGATTCTGCCATGTTGTATATGTTTAAATGCCTGTGTCATTCTTTGAATTTTATTTTAGTTGTTAATTTTTTTATGTTGTTTGTTGCTCGAGCCTGTGACCTTTTCAGCGATCCTTCATTTTGTTCTTTTCATTGCTATTAATTATCAAACTTCTTATTAACCCTAACTTGTTTAATTGAGAATGTGTTTACATTAGAGCTTTGATTTTCAATGTTGAAAAATTGATGCGATAAGAGTAGATTAAGTTTTAACATCCCATTTGTACTTGGTAGTTGACACCAGAACTTATACAAAGTTATAACTTAATGAATTCTTTCGTAATTCAAGTGCTTTTTAAGCACAGGTTAATAGCAGTAGATAGGCTCAACTATTGATCCACACTCCTTCCATGTCTTTTTAACAGGAGTAGAGGTTCATCCCATTTTGCCTGATTATATGGTTTACAGGTTCTCTGTATTTCTTCTCACAGGAAAGCACATATTGCCCGTGAGCACATATTCTTTATTAAGTTTTCCCGAATACGTGGGTTCGTAGATGTAATACAAAAGTCTATTTCAAACATTAAACGTTGGATGTAATAGAAATGTCGGATTAAAATAAATCCACCAAATCTTTAGAAATATATATAAGAATAGATTAGGATAGGTAGACATATAGGTATCAGTAGCATGGGATAGATAGATAGATAGATAGATAGATAGATAGATAATGTAGTTGTTATTCAACTGCTGCGTGAATGAAAATTCTTCCCAAGTCTGTAGAAGGAATCAAGCGTATGCTCGTCTTCAAGAGCGCGGGAAAGCGATCTTCCACCTCGCAGTATATATCCACCAGTTTTCACAGTATAATCATTAAGCTTTTGGAGACTATAATCATGAAAAAGGTCGTCAAGTACCTTAATAGGAACAATCTCCTACGCGACGATTAGTATGGGTTTCGATGGTCCAGATCCATTGCTGATGTTCTAACTACCGATAGACACAGACCTAGTGAGGCACTTGACAACAAACACACCGAATACCATAGCATTATTTACAAGGCATTCGACAAGATATTGCACAAAGTTTTGCTCACAACTTCACTGGAAAATTATTCTCTATTATAAAATCCTTCCTAAAAAGTAGATCCCTGAACGTAATTATTACCGGCCGGTCCACTGAGGCCCTGGTGATCAACGCAGGCGTCTATCAGGTGTCACCTCTTTAAATAATACTCTTTCTGTTTTACATAAATGATTTCCCTGAAAATATACTCAGAACATTTGTAAACAGCTATGCCACTGATGATGAGAGGATTCTTTTGAACAAATGTTGGTGAGTGACAGGGATGCGGAGTTTAACGCACATTGTTCAACCTATTTCTAGAGAGCATCATGCAAGAAACCTTGAATGAACATTGTGACGTCGTCCCACCTGGTCGCAGCGTCGACTCTGTCCTTCGATCTCTTTCGCGACGCCAGCTGTTCGCTCCTCGCTGCTCCAAGTGTGACGTTCTAACCCTTTGGTTAGATGAATACCAGCCTCGTCGTTCCCAACTCGCTTCCAACGCCTGGTTACTAGGGTAACTGTACTGATCTACGGTCTGCCTACCCACGTTGTGATTAGATCTTAGACAGACGGGATCAAACAGGGATTGGGGCCGTATGCAAGCTGAGTCCAACGGGGGTGATAACACACAAGAAAAAGAAAAACTCACAAGGTCAAAAATTATTGAAGAAAAAGGTAACAACTTTTTATATCTAAATGTTCGTTACACAAGATTATTCCTACCTCCCGACCCGTTTTGTGGACTGTGGCACCAAGCTTCTACCATATAACTTTAAGGCTTCGAGTTGCCTGCTCTCTAGAAATTTGCATTTCGGGGTGTGGTTTGGTTTCAACACTGGGCGCTGATCTCTACCTGTCGTTCACGGCTGATTTCTCTCGTCGCCCGTGGCTGTAACTAACTCTCTCCTCAGAGTCTGAACTATTGTTCACTCATCTCTGCCGTCAATGCGCGAACTAACTTTTTCTCTTCGACTTCGGTTGGACGAGCTTATTCACTTCGGCTTGAGTTGGGCGAATTTCTTCACTTCGACTTGGGTTGGACGAATTTCTCTTCTTAGGCCAAACGAACCGGCCTTTCTTGCCGCAAAGGGGACTAATGAACAAGGCCCGCCGTCCGCGCTGCAACTCCAACTTAACTTCTTCTTCCGAGGCGCAACCCCAACTGCAACTTTAACTGACTCTCGCTTCAGAGTCTGAATTATTGTCCACTCGTCTCCGCCGTCAGCGCTGCAACTTCTCTGCCTGTCCGGGCCAAACGGACCGGCCTTCCTTGCCCGCAAAGGGACGAATGAACAGGGCCCGCCGTCCGCTCTGCAACTCTCTCTCGCCGTCCGCCCTGCAACTGATTTCTGTCGATTGGGGTCCTGCTTTTATTGAGGCAGTCAAAAACTGGGGTGGGTCTGTCGGCGCCAGGGTTTTCTTGATAATTCTAAAGACGTATTATTTCTGATTAGGGATTTTCCATTATCGGTAACTTACTTTCACTCCTACTTCCTTACTGTACCTCTGGGGGGAGGCGTATACCCGCTTCCCCTGGTCCCTCGTATGTCAGGTGACCGCTCTCGACCAATGGGGTCCTGGTCGGGCATCTTTCCTCCTCCTCTCACATCATGTGACCGCTCTCGGCCAATGGGGTCCTGGTCGGGTGTCTCTCCTCCTCCCTCATGTATCACGTGACCGCCCTCGGCCAATGAGACTCTGGTCGGTATCTTTCCTCCTTCCTTCGTGACGTCTCTAATCGGGCGTGGACAATCCGTGGCTTTGTTCTGGGGGAAGAAACACCCTGCTAAAAAAAACAAAATTTAAATTGCCCTTTTCGTACCAGATCGAATGACGCTATCGGTTTCTTTCACACGCGGTATCTGTCAAAACAGCCTACCGCTAATTGGATACGATCTAAGAAAGGGATTTTCTTAGACTTGTCGGCGTCTCTCTGGAGCTAACAAAATATTTCATTCTCCTCCGGCCGATAATAAAAATCTGTATTATCTAAAAAAAAAACGACATCACTTTGGGTGGCGTTAACGTGAACTAATAAAAATATTTCACTTTTTCCCTTCGCTCGGAGCTTGACAACAAAATCTTAATTATCTAAAAAAAAAAAAAAAACATTTTCTAATCATCATCTTGGGTGGTTTTATTTTCAACTCTAGAAATTGTCTGGGTTCTTGTATTAATGGATTGTCTGTATATCCTTAGATAAACTTCCCCATCTGTTACCTATCATCTCAGTGACATCCTTTTCATTTGTTACTTATCATTATTTTTTTTTCATTGTCCCTAAAATTTTATTTCTTCAACCAAATATAACAAACTTCCATTTTTCGTGGATTTCGGTCAGGTACTTTGACCTAGATATCTTTTGACACCTGTTATGTGAGCGTGTGCTTATGACCGGTTTGCGTATTATATTTCTTTCTTTTTTTTCTCTTCATTTCCCTTTCTTTTCTTTCTTTCTAGATCCTTGAACGCAATTAGAGAATTATTCTCAACTCCGAAATATTTTCCATCTCTAAATAACTATCAAATGGTTAACAAACCGAAAAAAATAAATCATATATTTATGAATATCTCTTTTCAGTTTTCTAATTATGCATGGTGCCACAACATGATCCTTTAATCTCTATCAGTGGCAGGCCCGTCTCTAACTTACGTTTTGCATATGATATTGACCTCATAACAGGTAGTAAAAGTGAGCTCCAAGACTTGACCAACAAACTTTTGAAAGAAGCAGGAGGATATGTCATATAAGTCAACTCCGAAAAACTTAAAGTAATAGCAAAATTTAGTAACACCAGTGACAAAATTACCATGAATGGAAATTCACTGGAGGAAATGTTCACTTTTAAATACTTAGAGGCAATTTTGTCTAAAGACGGTACTGGAATTTCGGAAATCCGCAAACGGATTTCCGCAGCCATGGCAGTAATGGCCAAATTGGCAAGAATATGGAAGAGCAAAATCAGCTTTCAAACAAAGTATAGACTGTACAAATCTCTGGTAGTCTCCATTCTCTTATATGGATGTGAAACGTAGACATTGTTGGTTGGTACAGTGAGAAAATTCAAGCGATTGAGAACAAATACATGAGAAAACTCCTTGGTATTTTCTACTGTGAACAAAAAAACAATGAGTTTGTGCGGAAAAGGGTTGAAAGTTTCGTGGGACACCAAGAAAATGATTTGGATTGGACACATTACAAGGCATGACAAGCTGTGCAAGACCATCATGCCAAGCACTGTTGAAAGCGGACGTAGGAGAAGGCGCCATCGCAAAACTGGTTGGACACTGTCAAAAAAAGAAACAAGTATGACTGTATCAGAATTATTGATAGTTGCCGTTGATAGACCGGTGTAGAAAAGATTTAGTGTAGCTTCTGAATTCGGATCCGCCCTACAACTACAAACGTCAAGGGGATGATGATGATGAAGATGATGATGATGATGATTCGCCGATATACAGGTGCACCTCTAAATCACTTGACGATCAGATATTGGCAGAAAAATTCAATTCTAATGTAGCACTAACTTCCCAGTGGAGAAAAATTTGGCTGGTTACATTCAATGACTCAAAAACCAAACTAGTTACATTCCATCACCGCCGATCCGGCCACTAACTGCCGCCATTTACGAATAACGGGTGTCCCCTCGTGGAGGCACTGTGCGTTGTGCGAATATTGGGTCTTAATGTCACACTTCACCTCAATGGGACTTGTACATTCTATCCATCGCTAAAGATGCTGGAAATGGTCTACTCTCTATGACGCTCCAGTAAGTACCTGGCTCATCATGCTACGTTTATGAATGCCAGAAAATAGAGTACCGTTGTCATATTTTGACAGCATCTGCCCAGTCTTCATTTCCCTGTCTTGATAGATTACGAAAGAGTTTCCGAGTCCATGTAGGCAACGAATTATTTTCCACCCACAAACTCCTCACCCACAACCGAGATGTGGGGAACCTTTCACTGCTCACTATTTACATTATTCGGACTATTGTCCTCATAATTATTACAACGTTTCGGCTGTTGTACGCTCCGGTCTTCTTCAGGTGGTTCAATGTCGAACTGAAGCCTTTATTTCGATCACTATTTGCTGATGATATTAGTTGTATAGTACCCAGAAATTCATACACAGATGTCCTCAAGGACACATGACACTGTGGATAAAGGCGTTAGTTAGATCCAATGACAGGACCTAAAAGAGTGTGAGTTCAATAAGGCAGTGGAGAAATTGGAGAGGTGAATTTACAGAAGGTAACTGTTAAATGACATTCATTAAACATGGCACGTGGAACTCGAACATCATACCCCAGTGAGTGAAATAAAGGGTTCAGTTCGACGTTTCAACCACCTGAAGAAGGCCGGAGCGTACAACGGCCGAAACATTGTAATAAATATGGCGACAAAGATGAGGACAATAGTCCGAATAATGTAAATAGTGTACATAATACCTCATCTCAGAAATATAGACAGATACTGAAGGGCCGAAACGTTGTAATAAATATGGCGACAAAGTTGAGGACAATAGTCCAAATAATATAAATAGTTTACATAATACCTCATCTCAGAAATATAGACAGATACTGAAGGGCCGAAACGTTGTAATAAATATAGCGACAAAGATGAGGACAATAGTCCGAATAATGTAAATAGTGTACATAATACCTCATCTCAGAAATATAGATAGATACTGAAGAAACGTTGTCATAAATATGTCGAGAAAGATGGAAAATAGTCGAATAATGTAAATACATAATTCATCTCAGTAATATAGGGATACTTTCACTGCTCTGTCGCTACTTCCGACATTCCGCTAGGTCTACCTTTGACGTCTAAGACCCGTCATGACACTTACATTGTAGAAAACCACTTACATTCCCCTCCGAATTCCATCGGTAAGAAGAAAGTTCAACTCGTTCAGTTTGTTCCCGCAAACGACTGTTGTGTGGAAACGACTATAATCTTAAGTTGTTAAACTCTAGAGTTAACCGTTATCTTCCACTCTTATCCGTATAAAATCCCCCTTGATGTAACCCTCTTCCTTGAGTACCTCCCAGGCGTTGTAAAGGTTGAAACTTATTGTAAAAAAATAAGATAGATATGAACTGTGTAAATATAAAGTGCGCGAAAATGAAAATCGTCGTTAAATTAAATAAAATAGCTTCATTAATAAAGAAAAATTCTATGATTTATCAGTTATGTCACAAACGAGGACATATTTCCCTCAAACAAGGAAACAGTGAAAATGTTTTTTCCCACATTGAGGATTACGAGCCGGACATATTTTCTGTATCAAGTGACTATATATTTCCATAGGGAAACGGCGCCATTGGTTTATGAGCTGCACTGCATGACAGCAATCTGTACCTGGAAGTAGACTGAGCAGAAGTAACAAATGGTGTTTCTTGACTCCCCGTAGTTGAATGAGGGACTGACCACGTTCTACTTTGAGTAGCTCCAAGAGCTTGTAAATGGTGAAACTTATTGTAAAAAAATGAGAAAGATATGAAGTGTGTAGTTAAAAACCGAACGAAAATGAAAACGTCGATAAATTAAAGAATATAGCTTAATTAATAAATAAAAATGCTAAGAAAGAATAAAGAGAAAACAAGATAAAAGCAGGAGAGTTACAAGGAAAACTGGGATTGAGTAAAAGAAACAAATTAATAAGAAATAAATATAAAAGAATGTGTTATAACGTGTGTTATCCTTCGTATTTTATCAGTGCAGATGTAGTTGTTTTATCTCTCATACCAGGAGCTGCTCTATCCTTACTGTTTCGACATTTATGTATTAGCTCTGCTTTTTAGGCACTCATTTACATATCACTCAATGAATGTTATAAGAATGAAATGAAAATTAGGAGTAAAATAATCAAGTATTCGTTTACTTTAAAGAAGCTCGTGTAACCGACCAATCCGATTGTGTAATGAGTCTGTTTCTCATTGCGTTTTTAATTAATGTGCATTTGAAATTAGGCAAAATGGAACATAGAAAATAATTAAATAGAAAATACAAGTTAAAAGATAAGACGGAAAAACAGAGAAGACAGCGGGAAAGATAAAACAAGAAGTGACCATGAAGGAAGCCTTGAACGAATGAATGAAGTGAGAAAGAAAGGAAGAAGGAATAAATGAATGAACGAGAGAAAAAACAAGAAACAATCAAGTAAACTAACAAACAAACAAAAAAGCAACAAAATGTATCGTACATTATGTCCTTGTTTACTCGCCATTGATTTATTGTCTTTTAAATAGCTAAGATCCTATCTATGTTATATAATAGCCATTTCTTTTTACAGAAGAGAATGGATAGAAGAAATTTTAATAAACCACCCACTACCACCCAAACTAAAATCTGTGGTTTAATTGAGAAAAAAATTCGAAAGCTGACAAGGAAGAGACAATTGAAAAGAGATAATAAATTGAAGAAAAGATATAATTTGATATTAATAAAAGAGGGAAAAACGTCAGAAATTAAAAAAAGACGATGAATAAAAATGAGGGAAGAGAAAAGCAAAACAAAAAATATTAGAAAGAAAGAAAGAAAGAAAGAACACATTTATTCAGTTGCGACATTATTTTTAAGCCTGTTTATTAATTACTATTGTCAGAGTCATGACGCAAGAAGCAAACGAGAAATGTATGGTCGTCGTCTATTTTGTATTTTTTTTTTCACCGTTACTACTTCATACTAAATAAGGACACCGTCAAGGACACCATCAAAGACATATATCGAAATTTGTGGAGGCGTGCTGACAGCTTGTGACTCGTCACCAAAAGAAGTCTTATAAAAGGCAATGCCCATTTTTACCAAATCAGAATTGATAAAAACTTTCTGAGTAGGGATAGATGTTATGTATGAATCGACTGGTATATTTTGTATGAATATGGGTGAAAGTAAAAAAAAAAAAAAACCAAAAAAAAAAAACAAAACAAAAAAAACCGTCGAAATATAGGAACATAGGCTGTCTAAAAGACGTTTTATTAAAATGAAAACATTAGTAAATATATCACGACAAAATGTCATCAAAAATTGTAGGAAATTTAGGATTCTCTGAGTAATTCTCTTAATTCATCTGCAATGAAAATTACCAAAATCGAGCATAGATGATCATGTATGAAGGAAGATGAGTGATCATCAGACACTGTGGAATGAAATGAAAATACAGGACAGGGAAGAACACTGGACAATCAGAGGTCTGGAAGAATCAGCGCTATGACGACTGCCTTACACTGACTATCATAACAATAAGTACAATATTGGAGCGGCTAATAAAGAAAGAAAGACAAATAACGGCAAGTCTTCACACGTAGCAGCAGCATTTATCAAATTAGCAGCTACAGCTGCAGTTAAAATGTGACTGTCAGTAGTAGCGGCAGTAGTGGAAATGGTAATATCAGCCTAATCAGCAGTGAATGTTAGGTTTAAAGTTTACTCGGAGCAATTGTCGTTAATATATGTTAAGATAGAATCCCTTGTCCAAAGGCAAAATAAATAAAGCAACTGCCCAACGAAAATAATTAGTAAAAAATTAGAAAAGAAGGAAAGAGCAGCCAAAATTAAATGGTATCAGGCAAGTAAGAAAACAATATAAGTAAAGCAAATTCACAGGTAAGAAAGGAAAAAAGGTTTACGAACCACGAATTAGCGTCTAGGCAGGTAAGCTAGATCAGACAAGTGAATCCAATAATCTTCCGTGTAGACAAAGTAGATCTGGACAGAGTCAAGTCAAATTAGAAAGCGACCTAATTTACTGACTAAGAAAAAGTATCTCAGCATGCATTTTGTGAAGTTTTATTTATAAAAGGGGATTGGATACCTTTGCAATCATTCCTGTCAGACTGGAAATCAACAATATAAAACAGAAATATGGTAGGCGAGAGATCTTTGGTAGTGGGTAAAAGAGTTAGTTTGTGAATTTTGGAACATAGTGACTTTGAATTCAATCCCTGGGTCAGGAAGTGTAGCTTGCACTCAGTGGAAATGGGCAAGCAATAACTGAACAGTACTACATAAACTTATTTCACGGATAAATTGGAATAAGTGAAAAAAAATAATGACAAACAGCAGAGAGTAATTCGTAGACAAATTTATATATACATATTTACATTTATACCACGGAGAAACTATAGCATGTGTGCAACAACAAGCAGAGTGAAAAAAATAGAGAAAACAGTGATTCATAAATGTCATCACTTCCAACGGGAATTGAAGCTTCTAGGGATACATCTGTGTTTCTAGAAAATCTATATTTAGGATTACAGATTCTAGCTGGCCAGTTTTGTCTGTTATGTCACAAACAAGGACACATTCCCCTCAAACAAGAAAACGGTGAACGTTTGGTTTTTCCCAAATTGAAGACTACGAGCCGGAGATAGTTTCTATATCAAGTGAAGATATGTTTTCATAGAGAAACGGCGCCATGGGCTTGTAGGTTGCACTGCGTGACAGCAGTCTAGACCTGGCAGTAGACCGAGCAGATAGAACAACTTCTTGACTACTCGTCATTCTCTCAGGGAGATAATCGCCTTTTGTATCCCTACAAAGGTAACATCTGCCAAATATTTATCATGATCGAGAAAAAGTTTTGCTTGATGAAAAGTTATACTAGGAACATGTTAGGGTTATCTACTATCTGGTTCAGTTCGTATGCCATGGAGAAGTCATGACAGTATTTTATTTCATCTTAGGTTCTGTTTGAGTGGACTCATATATGAGTGCCAGCTGATGGATAATCTGAGATATTAACATCAATCTTCTCGGTTATACATTTATAAATAACAATTCTTTCATTCTGAGGCCGATAGACATAAAGATTAATAACACATGAACAAGATCACCTTAGCGAATATGAATCGAAAATCAATCGTCGTTTTGTGATTTTCGATCAAATGATGACCCGTCAGGGCTATAGGATCTAACGTAATGGCGTTGGCGATTTAGACTATCATGTTTTTTTGGATAGAGCCAAGTAGACAGGTAATGTAAATTATTGAACTCTAATACCCAAAATCAGAGTTGGTAACCTGTAATAGATTCCAAGAGTCCAATTTCAGAGGATATTGAGGTCAGAGTTCAGCTGGAAATGTGTAATGTAGATGCTTTATTATATATATATATATATATATATATATATATATATATATATATATATATATATATATATTTAGGCAGCAATGCATCCTTTATGCATGTTTCATTAAAACGACAGACAAGGTACTATGGTTAAGCTTTTTGTTTAATTTTTCTTGTGTCAGAACAAGAGCTTTCTTTTCTGGACAAAGGGCGTGTAAGAACTGTCCAAATGTTTTATATTTCCAAGCGCTTTCGGCTATACCTTTAACCATTATCAAGGAAGATTTGATTTTCAGCTTAATTGAGTGTGTGCGTTCTGTGTATGTATCAGTGTGTGGTAGGGATGTTTTTAATTTCTGAATACGGTTAGCACATTGTGGCTTTGTTCGTAGTTAATATTGTTAAGGGTTGGCTTTTTCTTTTTTATTATTAGAGCTTCCATTATTTTTAGTCTTTTTTGCAGGTGGATGCAGTTAATAAATTTGTATTTTCTACTAGTATGTTCCTAATGGTATCGGGTAAATCTGTTTGTGTGTTTAAAGCGCTCGGAAATATAAAACATTTGGACAGTTCTTATACACCCTTTGTCCAGAAAAGAAAGCTCTTGTCAGAACATTAGAAAAATGAAATAAAAAGCTTACCGTAGTACCTTGTCTGTCGTTTTTAATGAAACATTCATATATATATATATATATATATATATATATATATATATATATATATATATATATATATATATGTGTGTGTGTGTGTGTGTGTGTGTGTGTGTGCAATATTGAAAGTCAACACTCAGAGGCGATAGACTGTTTCATGCTGGACAAAATCGTCAGACCAGCATGAAACAACCTGTCGCCTCTGAGTGTTGACTTCAATGTTCATATATTCGCCCTTCAGCAGGATTCGAATCCCCGTTTCATTTTGCAGGAGAAACTGTTGATAGATCAAACGTGCTATAGACGGACTTAACAACGAAGGCTATCGCGATCAAGCAGGGCTAAAGAGTGCCTTTAAATGAAAATTTTCTTCAATAAGCTTTCTCAAATATCCAGTCCGATAGACGAAAATAAATATAATGTCTAAAATAAACAGAGTGTCTACTTGAATAGGGGTATCTAGTAAACGTTTGTGTGTGTGGAAAAATTTATATATAAATATATGTGCAAAGACAATATATATATATATATATATACATATAAAAGGCAAAAATGTATTTATTATTTAAATAAATATATAAAAAAGATAAAATATAATGCGTAAAAATATATAATAAATACATAAATAATTAACAACAGCATCTATTCCCTTTCTCTTAATAAACTGAAAGAATTATGTCACGTAGTGTCCACCATATTTTAAACATTAATTATTTAAAATATATTTGCGTGTTCTCTAATTTAAAATTTGAACTCTTAACTTATAAATAGTAGCAGATATAGTTACATGAATTTCAGTTGTACACATTTGTATAAAAATAGTTGCACTAGCAATGTTTTTTCTTGAATTTCTGCGACAGAGCTGTTCGATTTAAAACAACCTCTGCCTAAGTGTACAGATAATATATCAGCTTTTATGTTTTCCACAACAAAAAATATTTTACAAATCAACCATCTCATATTTCTTTTCCCAAATATTATCAGAACATTTCTTTTCTGTTATGAAATTAAATTTCAAGTAAGCTTAGACGGTATTAGTAAAATGGAGAAAGAAACATTTTTACAGAGACATCATCATTCTATGCATAAGGAATGACAGAATAAAACAATTGACGGTGATATACGCCCAGCGCGGAGAGACTCGCACACATATACCCTCGTAAAATTGCTAGGTTTTCAAAAAAATTACAGTCAACTCATGATCTGGAATAAATATGTTAAAAGCAGATGAATTTAATAGGCGTAAATAAGATGTATGCATGAATTTATTTTTTACAGCAACTACAACAAAAAATAAATAAATACAGCTTATCCATGAAATGGATAATATAAATGTTGTATTTTGTCTTTTATTTTGAAATCAAGCAAAATGTCTGGAAGAATTATACGATCAAAGAACGTCACATAGACACCAACTATGTCTATCGTAATTTGACATTTGCCGCAACGGATTTTTATTCAGCTGTATTTTCGTTTCATTGGTTTTTCGTAGTGACTAGAATTTTTTTTTACTTTTGCATCTAAGAGAATGTACATAACCAATGTGTGAAATGTATGTGTGTTTTAAAAAAAACACACACAGGCACACGACTTAACACCCTTGCTATACATCACTACACACATTACTTCTACGAAACTTAGCATTTGTTTCTACTTAACCTGATGATGATTTTAGAAAATCGAATGCATGGTCATATTTTTCCGAAATTAATTTTGTTCATTTACTGACATAATTTCATCCTTTTCTGAGGAGTAGTATTCGTAATTTGGAAAAATCGATCATTAAAATTAATCAGCACAATATATACATACACACACGCACACATAAATAACCCCATACTTACACACACACACACACACATATATATATATATATATATATATATATATATATATATATATATATATATATATATATATATATATATATATATATATGCAATTTAAAATTTATGTATTTAGGCAGCACTCCTTCAATTATACACGTTTCATTAAATACGACAGACAAGGTGCTTTGATTTAGTTCTTTATACAATTTCTCATGCGATCTAATATTTATTTTTCTTTTCAGATGAT